AGTAAATAATCATTCAGGTCTGAGTAAGTGTACATCCCATCTATGAAGGCAACTGTTTCCCATGATGTACCGCCATCAGGTGGGTATTTTATTTGGTTATTTTGATACTGTTCTGAAATATTGTGCCAACTATAAGTCATTGTAACCTTATCCAATGCTATTTCGTCTATCATATCATTTTGGAGTTTCAGAACTGGATCGAATTTGATTATGAAATCTTCTGCTTTATTCTGTCCAATTTTCTGTCTATCAAAAGATGATATATGAATAGCTCTTTCTTGCATTTATATTATTAGATTACATTATATACTCCTTCAATAGACTATTAAGCTGGGTGTTATTTAGAACACCCAATTTGTTTAGTGTGTGAGGAATTTTGGAAAATTCATTTTTGACACCGTTATTTCCAGCTAGTATTGATCCACCTAACAATTCCAATCTGTCCAGTAGCTCAGCTGGATTATTATAATAAACAACCCCTGAGCCGATTTTTTTGTATTTATTACTGGGTCGATGAATTGGAATATCACTTATCCTGTTCAGGTCATCAAATACCTTTTTTGATAATGGTGAATACTTCTTTTTACTGTTGAACCGCTTTGTGAGCAGATCAAGGATATCAAAGTCCGCTTGCTTATCATATACTTTTTTACCATCCTTATGAGCAGTTAGTTTAAGCTGGCCGTAAAGTTTGGGCACATCAATGGTTACATTTCCATAAACACCAGTATTGGGGTTAATCTTGTACGCATTTTTCTTCTTCTGTGTGTAAATACCTTTCCCAACCTTTAGAGTTTTTGTACCCTCCTCTAGAATGCCAATTCTTTGTCGGTACTTTCTAATAATCTCAATTCCTTCATCATATTCAGCAATCTGGTCCTTATTCTTCTTTCTGGCGGTTTTTGTTGTGCTCAAATGGGCTTTCTTCGTGCCTAACTCCTTATTCATTTCACCAGATTTATCCAGAATTTGTTTCGCATAATTTGGCTGTTTCATGGTTTGCAAAAAGATGTCAGCTGGTAATGGCAATCGCTGGGTTTGTATGAATGCCAATTCTTGTTGAGTGAATCCCTTATTCAGATCAGCTACCATCTTAGGCGCCACCTCACCACTGGGGCCTGGTAATGCTAATCTTTGAACTTGTTCAGCATATGGGACAACTTGTTTATTAACATCTTCTCTCAATTTACTGATCTCCTCTATTTCCTTATCAAACTTTTCCGTGAGAGGTTTCAGATCTTCAGATGTCTTTTCGTAAACATTCTTTTTATTAGTTCGAACTTCTTTTATAACATCCCTAACAACTTCAGTCATTTTTCCTGCTTCAATTTTAGGAATACTGAGTCTCTTGAATCTTTCAATATCCATTATACTATTGTGTTTTATACAATGATGTGAATGCTACGTGCGCTGTGATTGGTTGTTGCCCATGATCTATTAGAGTACAGATACATGGATGACGTCACGGGAAACTTGTTTTCTTTGTTTTGTTCAACATGGCACGCAGTTTTGAAAATGTTTGTGAGATTATTTCGGATTGACTCAAGTGAAAGCTTCGGAAAAAGTTTAGCAGGAGCTATTTACAAAGAAGAAAAATGGAGAAACGGAGACCAAAAAAGCTATTGACTACTTGACAATACCTAAACTACAAGAAATCTTCACAACAGTTGCCATCGTGTGTCTTCGCTACGAGAGACGCTGTTTTGCAAAATGTTTTCCCTATTATTCTTCTTTGAGCAAGAAAAGACGGTGAAAAACTTTTCGATGAAACTGTACACAAGTAAGATAAAGAAGAAGCTAAGATGAAAAGTTGGGTTTGGGACTTAAAAAATGCCTAAACTAGCACAAATCCTCAAAAGGTCAAGCTGTGTATCGGTCTTTTTCTTTTCTGATCATTGTATAAAACAAATAGATTCCATGTTGCCGTGGGTCTGTTCAGTAATAGATCACAGAGGACGTCAAAATGTGGTAAAAACAACAGTGACACACTCGCCTGCGCCTCGTGTGCCACTTCTTTGTTTTTACGACATTTTGACGTCATCTGTGATCTATTACTTAACAGACGCACGGCAACATGGAATCGATTTGTTAAATATAAAACTTATGTCTACTTATGTTAACTTATCTCAAGTTATCTAACATAATAGTATAATGGAGATTCCAAATTATGATTTCAATGAAGATGAAAACACAAACTTCAAACAGCTGTACAAGTACATGCCCAAATCCAATTTTACGATGCTAATATGCGGCAATTCAGGTTCAGGCAAAACAAACCTGCTTTATCACATCCTTATGAAACCATTAGTCTACTATGACCAGATTCATTTATATGGCAAAAACCTTGAACAGGAAAAGTATTGGTACATGATACAAACAATGAATGACATTAGTAGCCAGGTTGGATATAACATAATGCATTGCAATAATGATGACATTAAACCTGTCAATAGTCTGGAAAGTGATGCCCAGAAAATTTCAATATTTGATGATTTTATTTGTGATAAAAACCAGAAGCCGCTAATCAATTATTTCATTCAAGGCCGTCATAAGAACTGCAGTGTTATTTACCTTTCGCAATCATTTTATAAAATTCCAAAAGATATCAGACTAAACTGCAGTCAATATATTGTTTATGATTTCCCTAGCAGTAATGAGAGAAATATGATTTCTAGAGAGTTGAATGTAACAAAGGATCAGTATGTTAAAGCAACAAAACAACCCTATTAATTCCTGTATGTTGACAAACCACTAAAGACTGTCAGAAAAAAGCTTTTATGGAAATATCTAATATACTATTATAAAATGGGAATTTTTAATCAGCAACCTAATTAGAATCAATCATACTCAAAAGGAAAACGAGAAATTACTGGCCCTCAAGGTCCTCCTGGCCCGCCTGGCCCCTCTGGTGTAGCTGGACTTCGTGGCCCTCGTGGCCCTATTGGTCCCACTGGTCCTACTGGTGTTCATGGTCCTATTGGCCCGACTGGTGTTCGTGGGCCTCGGGGTTTACTGCTGCAGCTGGTCCTATTGGTCCCACTGGCCCTCGTGGTGCTACTGGTGCATCAGGCACTGGTTTTAATCTCACATCAGATGGGAATTATGATATGTGACCCTCCACAGGATTTCCAGCATAATGGTGATGACACGGGCACGCTATTTTAGCACGGTAGACAAAAGAAATTTTCGTTAACACAGTAGCAGCGTGTCACGATGCATGCCTAATTAAAATTTTCTTTTGTTCCATATAAACAATGAACCGTGTTCAGGTTAAACAAAGAAGCGTGTTAAAGGATGCGAAAACAAAAGCCGTGTCATGCCGTGTCATATTGCACTCTGGTGTGCGAAATATCACGTTTGGGCCGTGTTAAATAATCTTAAGACCCAGATCAGATCAGACATCTGTAAGACATTGCACGCGCGAAAATTGTTCTATCTTCAATGAAGCAAAATCACGACACGCATTCGTAACTTATTTTTGTCATCGAATCAGTGATTCATGTTGTAAATTTCACCTGTTACCTTCCAATTAATCACAAATTGTCACATGAAACTCGTTTTTCTTCTCTCAAAACACGAAAATTTATAGCAAGATCACGAGCACGCGTTCATAACTTATGATCAAATCGGCGTTTTATGTTGTAAATTTCACCTGTTATCTTCTAAATGAATCACAAATTGTCCCATGAAACCCGTTTTGTTTGCCACATTCTTATCTCAAAGGACGGAAATTTCGAGAAAATAAATAACAAGATCGATTTCATAATCGAAAATATTGTACTGACTGACGGCTGAAATTAGGCCATAGTCGGGACAACATTATAATTTCCAGCTCTGCAGTTAGGTCCTTTACACGGCACGAATGACAACAACATTTTCAGCTTTTGTTATCGCAAATAAATTCCTTTTGCTGAAATTAGGCCATAGCCGGGACAACATAATAAGAATAATTTTCAGCTCTGCAGTTAGGCCCTTTTCACGGCACGAATGACAATATTTTGTTTTTGTTATTATCCGAAATAAATTGTTAGTGTCTGCCGTGTTCTGAGGCACTGTTACCTCTTCGCTAATAAAAACTTTCAAACATCTCTTTTCTGAAAGGAACTCTCGACCAAAGAAAATTGTTTGTGCCTCTCATTTTGATGCTTCAAATTAGTGAGCATTGCTTCTGCTTCAATCCTGCTGCAATCATTCCGTTGCGGGCTGAATGTTAAGATCCCACGGGAAACGAATCAAGTTTCAACTGCTAACCAAATCGCTTCCGACTACGTCAACAAAATACAGTTGACTCCCGATAACTCGAACCCGCGCTAACTCAAACCAAAGTCGATTTCCCCTGGATTTCCTTCTTACATTTACCGTAATTTTACCCTCGGTAACTCGAACCTCCCGCTAACTCGAAGTAATTTTTGTTTCCCTTCAGCTCATTTCTAGACAATTTTACCCTCAATAACTCGAATCATGTCATAAGTGCGTGACAAGTCGGGAAAAAAACCGTGTACTGAAGTCCAAAACATTGAATTTATTTCCAAACAAACAAGTAAATTCTTTGTCTTCACCTTTTTGTCACTCCAGTTCAAATTCAGTGTCCATTCCTGTATAATTTGTCGGTTAATTGCCTTTCCTTGCCATCCATTTGCTTATTTCCTTACTTCTGGTTATTTGTTTCAAACTCCCGATAACTCGAACTTTTTTTCGATTTCCCTTGAAGGTTTGAGCTATCGGGAGTCGACTGTATTTAAAAACAAAGAATTGCCAAGATACGCAAGTCTGATCCTCCCAATCTTAGTTTATTTTAAATGTCACAAACATCTTAATCATAAAACATACAATATTTTTCACTCAAGAACTTCAGATAGACTTAAGTAAGGAAAACAAAATGGCCCAATCTATTTTTTTACACTGATATGTACGGAACCGAAAAAAATACTTTTCTAATTATCGGTTTACTACATGTCTACATACATTGCGATGTTATATTGTTTCTTAAGAAAGTCCAGTTAAAAATTTGTATTTTTCTGTAGTCTTCTAATTACAGTTCGTCTTTTCCCCCTGCATTTGGTGTTGATGCGTGTTCGAACATTCTCCCACTGGCTAGTAAAAACTGGAGATTCAAATTTCCGACGGAGCGTCAACTCTTGAAAAAGGAGCTTTAACTCATCCAACTGCCGATAGCCATTAGACCCAGAAGTGTTGCCCTTAGCCAATTCTTCGTCTGTAAACAGGACGTCTACGCAGGCCATAGCGGTTGTAATAATGTTACTTCCAAAGGAAACTATCAATTCAACCTTTTGCCGGTGATCATCTGTGGGGCCGTGACTGCTGTATCTGCGCTGCACAAATGGGGCATTCTGATCAATGGTGGATAGCGGTGATCGCAGTGATGGTTGGAGTGAAGGCGGTTGTAGCATGGCTCCATTGTTGACAACTGCCAAGGGAACGCTCTGAGTCATGCTTGGTGGCTGTGCGGGTCCCTCTAGTGGTGTTTCTGGAACTGGCTGATTACTGGAAAGTTCCACGTCAAATGGCAAGACATCACTCAGCGAGTCCATGAGGATGTCTTCGTCGTTTAACTGATTGTCAGGCAGTTCGCCTTGGTGTCTGTTCTTCAGGGCAGTAAGATCAGCCACGATCTTAGTCAGCTGTCTGATTTGTTCCTTCAGATCGTCCATTACGTCTGGAAACTCGGTCTGTACAGCCACTTCTGATTTTTCGAGGATGTCTCGTCTGTCACACTGAATGGATGCCGTTTTAGTTGTTTTAGCTTTCTCACTGTTAATACGCTGCTGTTTTAACCGGGCCTGTTTTTCATCCTGCTCTCTAATGAATTCATTCAACATCTGCAACTACAAATTGAAAAAAGTGTGGGCGGTTAATTAGGTGCAATAAGTAAGGCTCCCGTTTTAACCTGATTTTTATACTGCACGCGCGCTTTCCCTATTGTCTCGTCAGAATTGCCGAATTCAGCAGATAACAGAACAAAGACTGGCTGCGAGTTTATTTTTCGCATAACGTAACGTCTCTATACTACAGGTACGAGTAAGATTTGCAATAACGTGTTCTTTCCAAATGTCTCATGTTAATAGCTACAAGAAAAGCAACTGGACGCTCGTGCTAGGTACTCACAAGACAGACAAAACTAAGGCCCTGTCCACACGAACTGCCTGTTTATGCCGCTAAAAAGTAGACTCCCTAAGCTTTAAATAGAGACCAAATATAAATCTGCACGTTGAATATTCACGGACTTATTATTTTGCGAGGTTTCTACATGTACGTTCCCTTATAAGACCATGCACTAATTAAATTTTACGCAAAATGATCTGTGCGCAACTTCACACAAAAACATGAACTTCAATATCTCGAAAAATTTGTTCGTATGTAAAGTTAGTATTTCAAATTCTTTATGCAGTAGAAGAGTTTAGTTCACTATTTTCAAGGTACTTTTCGCTTATGCAATTGAATTTAGTTCAAACTATTTTTCGTGAAGTGTGGTAATTCATGACATTTCTAAACAAATTGAACAGCACGCGCGTATAGGTAAAATCTTTGCTGGTTGGCACTTAGCGTTAACCATAACTAAAATAATAACTAATAACAGAAACTGGTAAGGGGTTGAACAATCCGTTATGAGTTTCTGCTGATAGTTATGAATAAAACTATTGAAAACAAAAAAAACAAACAAAAACAGTAAAACCAGTGAAAGAGTGGTTACCGGTCGTTTCGATACAAGTTAATTCAGTCGAGTTGTAAGAATTTTCACGTTACTTGGCTTACAGGAGGAAGAATATTCAACCCAAATGTTTTCCTTTTTCACGCGCAAGCTATACTTGAAGTGATCGAAATTTTTGAATAACTTTAATGCTTGAGGTCGTATCAAAACGACTTGTATCGAAACAACTTTGTCCATCGGAAAGACCGCGGTTTCCCATAGCAAACATGTTAACAAAATAAGTGGCGAATTGTAATTATTCTTTTGTTGAATCTTGGTGTAAAATTGTTCGACATTACAGTCATACCTCGTCACTCGAAGCTTTTCATTTTTTCGACGTACTAGCATCCTTATCTTCCTTGCTTCTTTTCTTTCCAGGAGAAACCGGTTCGGGGTCGAAAAGCTCTGCGTTCATCTCAACGAAAGCCCTTTCCTCTTTATTAAGGTTATCTTCGTTATCTAAAAATTGAGAAAATGCAATCGTTATAAAGCCTTAAAGGGCAACAACAATTACATGTATAACAAAAACTTAAAATGCAGCGAAACATCCGTTAGATGCGTTATCAATGATCGGGAAAAAGATCTGAAAAGGCGANAAAAAAACAAACAAAAACAGTAAAACCAGTGAAAGAGTGGTTACCGGTCGTTTCGATACAAGTTAATTCAGTCGAGTTGTAAGAATTTTCACGTTACTTGGCTTACAGGAGGAAGAATATTCAACCCAAATGTTTTCCTTTTTCACGCGCAAGCTATACTTGAAGTGATCGAAATTTTTGAATAACTTTAATGCTTGAGGTCGTATCAAAACGACTTGTATCGAAACAACTTTGTCCATCGGAAAGACCGCGGTTTCCCATAGCAAACATGTTAACAAAATAAGTGGCGAATTGTAATTATTCTTTTGTTGAATCTTGGTGTAAAATTGTTCGACATTACAGTCATACCTCGTCACTCGAAGCTTTTCATTTTTTCGACGTACTAGCATCCTTATCTTCCTTGCTTCTTTTCTTTCGAGGAGAAACCGGTTCGGGGTCGAAAAGCTCTGCGTTCATCTCAACGAAAGCCCTTTCCTCTTTATTAAGGTTATCTTCGTTATCTAAAAATTGAGAAAATGCAATCGTTATAAAGCCTTAAAGGGCAACAACAATTACATGTATAACAAAAACTTAAAATGCAGCGAAACATCCGTTAGATGCATTATCAATGATCGGGAAAAAGATCGGAAAAGGCGACGCTACTTACCACCTGTTGCAATAACCATAGCTTCCAGCAGCTTGCCTCCACTTTTGACCGTAACCACATCTCTCGCATTTGGTGCAGTCTCCGAAAACAGCTTCCCTGTCTCTTTCGATTGCATTTTTTTTGTTTCAATAACGCATGTACTTTTGTCAACAGCAAAATACACAAGACACAGTTTTGGAACTTTGGTAAGGTTGCGTAAAGCCATTATGAGCGTGTAGTAACAATCTGGCACAAGGCTGTAACCACAGTGAAACTTTTTTGCTCGTGTCAGGCTTTTATGCCTGAGCAGTAAGTGATTTATATTCTGTCAGTAAGCCAAACAAGATTACTTTTCCGGTCTATTGTTTTGTTTTAGCTACCCCCAACAATAGGTGCGATAACTACGAGGTGCAACTGTGATAAACAATACCATTTGAAGAAGGCAAAATTAACAACTCTTTTGGCGGCGGAAGGAAAACTGCCGTGGCTATGTCCACGCGAGTCCATTAATGCGTTTAAGGATAACTATACGAAAACAGCACTTAACGTTTTATAAACCTATCCAGTCTCATAATTAAGTGTTCACGAGAACATCCGTTTATGATCGTTCACGTGTAGACGGCAAGCCGAAAACGTTAAGTTTGCAAGCGTTTTATAAACTCGCATCGACTTGTTGCAAGATTTTGTTCTTTTCATCTTGTCGAAAGTAGAAGTACCTAACTAAATCAACGCTGATTCAAGAATCAAGAGCTCAAAAGGAATTACCTTATTTTGATGTATTATTCTTTAATTACAGTTGATTAAAACTTCTTGAAAAACAACCAAAAATGAGGGGGGAGATCTAAAGCTCTTAACTTTTGTATCATTACGCGTCCTTTGTATGGTTCATTGTTCAAAGCC